CATAGGGCAAGCCCCCAGGAATCCTTCTTCTTTTCCTTGATCTCAAGTACCTTCCAGGAGCCACATGAGTGTCAGCTAGGAGTGACCGGATCGCGTGACACCAATGGGTATTCTAAGTGAATAAGGAGTGACATGATTATATCTAATAAAGTCTGATTTCTTTTTTCTGATACACTAATTAATTCTGGTGTAGTAGAAAGAGATAATTGTGATATAATTCTATTGTCGTTTAAGTAGTCCCAAAATTCATTAGAGAGATTTCACCTCCTTTATCTTATCAAGGGTTTTGATTTGTATCCCTAATTGTTTATCAATTTAATGTTTGAATTCTTTGAATTTTTCAAATGATTCAGATTTATGCCTCATTAGGTACACGTAGCCATAGTAAGAATAATCATCGATAAAAGTTATAAAGTAAGAATATTGGTTACATGTCCTAACATTCAGGGGGCAACATACATCCATATGTATAAGGTTAAGTGTGCTTGTACTTCTTTCAGACTTACCCGTAAATGACATCTTTGTCATTTTTCCATGAAGGCAAGGTTCACAAGTTGGTAGGTATTTTACTGTGAGGAAATGTAGATGACCATCTTTCACCAATCTTGTGATTTGTTCTATGTTTATGTGGCCAAGTCAATAATGCCACAAGCATGTGGGATTAACAACTTCTTGTGTTCTTTTCATGGGGATTTTTCCAAGACTGTTTCAATCACATTTGTTTCTAGAGAAGGGTGAGGTACACAAAGACCATTATCAAGTTCTCCATAAGCAAAGAATTTGTTATTCAATTTAAGTATAACCTTATTACTAAATAAAATAGAATAATCATCCTTACATAACTTAGAAACTGAAATCAAATTTCTCCTAAGTTGCAAAACATAAAGACAATCTTTTAGGGTAATCATTCATTTTCTAAAAACTAAATCTACTGATCTTATAATAACAATTGCAACAGTTGTAGATGTACCCATGCAAAGCATGATCTCATCATCACTCAACCTTCTACTTTCCTTGAACCCTTGCAAAGTGTTGTATGCATGAGTAGAAGTGCTAAAATCAATACACTAGGAGGAAGAATTGACTAACAAGTTGGTCTTTATGACCTAAGTTTTAAAAATACCTTCGTTCTTTTTAAAGGATTCTAGATATCTAGTGCCTAGTTTCCTTGCAAAAGTGATACTCATATGATGATTTGTCTTTCTTCTACTTCTTTGGTTTTCCACCCTTCTTTTGAGGCTTGTTCTTGCACTTTTGTTTCTTTTGCCAAATTTGCTTCTTTCAACAAGCATGGATACTAGCTTACCCTTTTTAATTAGTTCTTTGACCCTTTGCAAAATATTGCCAAGTTCTTACAAGTTAGTTTTTAGCTTGTTCATATTGTATTTGAGAACAAATTGATTGAAGGACATGGGTAGAGAGTTCAAGATGACATCAATTTTTGTATCATCACCTAATTGGAGCAAAGAGCCTCCAATTCATTTATGAACCCTATCATTTTCATGACATGGTCATTGAATTGGCTAGTTCTTTTGTTGTGCACAATGATTCTGCTTTTTATACATGGCCTTCAAGCTATTTAGGATATCTTTGCAAGTAGTAATTTTATCAAATTGTCTCTAGATAAAATTGTATAATGAGGCGATGATGTAACAATGGGCAAGCGAGTTTTTTCTCTTCTCATTCTTGATATTCCTTCTTTCTTGCCTCAGAAGCTCTTTTACCGAGATATTCCAATGCCTTATCATTGGCAATTTTGTACAATTTTTTAGATGTTAGCACTTGGTTAAGGTTGCGGATCTAGTCTACGTAGTTGGGTCCCTTGAGTTTGTTATCATCTAGTAGTTAGCAAATTGATCAACCCAAACTAATACAACCCGAGTTGACCGAGTTTCACTAATGGTCGGTTGGTTTTGGTAATGAACTTCTCAACCCAACCATGTCAATTTGGTTGGCCAAACATCCTACAACCATATATTAAGTAAAAATTGATAGTAACTCCCCAAGGCTTCTAGACTTTTTCTTAAATACCCCACCTTTTTGAATTTAGTCCCTCTCTATCATGAGAGAAAAAATTGTAATTTGAGTATTATTATTCTCTAGTTCATTTAACTCTCATACTCTCACATTGAATGATACATTTTAGGTATCTTAGTTTCTCATAATTAAATTTTACTAATAAAATCCATGAGTAATAATTTTAATAGTATAAAACCTAATTTTTTAAGATTAAGGTAAAAAAAAAAATCAGGTTTCTAGGTGGCATTTAATTAGTTCAACCATTTGGATCAAATAGGTCAACCAATGAGATTATAGTTGAATAATCAATTTTTTGAAAAGAAAAAAAATACAATGACATTGAAATATACACAAAATGAAATCTTTTTATTAAACAAAAATAAGTGTGATAAATAAGAAATGCTTTTATTAATGATGTAAATGAAATACAAAATTTAAAATTAGTTTGAAAATGAGATCTTTTCTTGTATAATTAGGTGGTAGGTCAATATTTAACCTTTTGGATAAAAAGATAGAAATACAATATGTTGTAATAAATAAAAAACCTTTTTAGAAAAATATGGGCATCTCTAATGTTATATATTCATTATATTCAAAAATAAATGCGATAATAAAAATTATTTATATTAATGATGGAATAGAATAAATAATAAGAAATCAAAAAGATAATTAATGTTTAACCTCGGAGTCCACTAAGTAGGCTAAATGGTTCGATACTTCAATTAGTTGAATCGACAATCTTTTACAAGCATGCGATAAATGGATCCAAAATCCTAGTTAGGTAATGTATCAACCAGTTTGATTGATTCATTTAACCACTGGATAGAAACACTGATGCAAAATCTATCAGTCAAAAAAGTAAACTCGTGATGTCATAAATTAAATAGTAAAAGTAAAAACATAGAAAATTATATAAATACTACAGAAAACTTGTGATGCCATATTTTATTAATTTACCGCCCAGTTCAAGGCAGGATTGGGGAATTATATGCAAACCCCGTCCCCTCCCCCATCCCCATCCCCACCCTTTCCCATTTCGGGTATAAATATTTTCCTTGTTCCCGCCCTATCCCTGTTTAAGATTGGGGAAAACCTGTCCAATTCAAGGTGGGCAGGGTATGGCCCTAGTTTTACAAGAAAAGTTGCCATCCCCATTTTTTATACACTAAGGTGGGCAGGATATGGCCCCAATTGGACATTTCAAAGTCAAAGTAGAATAAGTTTTATGTCATGGTAATTTTTGGAACGTATTTGTGACTTGATTTATGCATGCTTGTCAGCTACCAAGTTTGCAAGTGTTAATAAATAGGAGAGCAAGTGAAATATTTTGTCCTCATCTCGGACTAAGGTCATGTTTTGAAATGCTTACATTAAAAATGAATGCTTAAAAATAAGTGCTTATTCCAATAAGTACTTATTTGCATTTGGCACCCAACTTTTTCAAGTGCTTATTTTAAAAAGTAAGTACTTGTTTCATATTGGGCATTTGATTGTCTTTTTCTCCAATGCGTATTTGTAACTATTTTGTCCTTCATTTGCTTTCAAATTTTTAAAATATACTTTATGAAAGTACTTTTGTTAAATTACTTTTATAATTAAAAACACTTTTATGAAAGTACTTTATGAAAACTCTTTACAAAAGCACTTTTATAAAATTAATTTTATGAAAAGTAGTTTTACACAAAAGCACTTTAACAAAAATACTTTTAACATACTAAAATATTCTCAATGTGTGACTGGATGCTATGTAAGAAGAGTTTTACTTGTAGGAGATTCAGGCTCGTAGCTGAGATGGTCACTCAGCATCACTCTGATTATAGAGGTGTGGGATCACACCGGCGTATCTGCAGGCTCTCAGTGGCAAGGTCAGTGGTCTGTCACCATTCCTCGATTCCCCTGTAATGTAATACCCAAAAAGAAAAAGATACATTTGGACAGTACACTTTCTTCCTGTTTGAATTCATAAAAGAGCATTGCAAATTCATTGTCGACAAGATTCAACTAGGGTTGGCCAGGCTTGGAATCATCCCTGGGCCCTGGCCCAACACTGAGACTAAGCTCCCTAATTTGAACCTTGGTCATTCTGGTCCAGTTGCCTACTTGTTTTCTATATTTTACTTTTATAGATTATATGTAGCACAACATGACACACCGTCTAAATGGTTTATCTTGTATGCATTATAATGTAATTCAATTGTGTAAGCTTAGGGCCCGATCAATCCACTTAGGATTGGTCTTGTTCTTAGTTGTATCCCTTGAAATCCTTTGGAACAATATTATATAGTCTAATTTTTTAAGCAAATTTGGGTGGGAATGAAAGGTGAAGGCAGAATTAGATGCTGATCAGACAGAGCTACATCCACTGTCTTTACCAACCCATTATCTTGTTTTATCTTGTCTTTGTTTCTTGATATGTATATATTTTATGTTTAAATTAAGTCATTAAGTGTAACAACTAGGTTGGGCTAGAGTAGACTAAACTCAGACTTCCAAAGGGAATCTGCAGTTTCTTCTTCACTAGATGTGAAATGAAACATGTCCACGATTCATACTGTAACCAGATGAATCAGCAACTGAAGACTTCCAATTAGGTTTTGTATATTGCGTTGCCTTGCAATTTTCCTTTCAATAATTAAAAGAGGAATACTAGAAAACCAGTTTTCTTCGCCCTACAGAAAAAAGATTCTAATTTTTTCTGTCTGCTTCTTTACATGTGCCCCACCATCCATAGTGAACTTCATTGTTTTGCCTGAAATTATAATTAACAAATAATGGAAGCTGATAATTAAGTAAACTGTTTGGCCGGTATTAGAAAGTAAACTGTACCTGTATATCATTGCTACTAATATATTTGATGGGCAAACTTCAAATTTTCAGATGGGGATATAGGGTTCATTGTAGCCAAGGAATTAGAATATAGTTCTAACAAATGTGGTTTCTTCTATTACTTTACTGAATTACAATGTAGAAGATGGATTAAATGGAACCTGCAGTGATGTTAGTTGAAAAACACTCCATAAAATTGTTGTTTCTTTACATCGTGGTCTTCTCATCTGTTTTCATGTTTATTAAATCTCTGGTTTTGCTCCATAATACAGCTTATAAACCACCAATAACAATTATGGCACCTGCCAAACTGATTAATGTTTCATAATAGAACATTTATTTCATATAAACCACAAATCATGACTAATAAAGCCTTCAATACTTCATCCCTCACCAACACCAAGAGATTTGTCATGTGCTAAAAGAGGTTCCTCCAAGTTAATTTTGCAGCTCATGGTGGATTCATTCCTTGGTCTTTCATCTGTTTTAATATCTGTTAAATCTCTGGTTTTTCCCCATAGCACAGCATATAAACCACCAATTACAAGTATAGCACCTGACAAACTGCTTAAAATATAAAATAGAAAATTAATCTAAGTAACACCAGTTTCCAAAACAAAGGAGGGAAAGCTTAAAATAGATAAATCATATGGAACATAGGATTTAAGATATTACCTGCCAATGAAAAGATCTTCGTGAAGAATTAAAGAGGCCAAAATGGTGGTAATCACAGTGGATAGGGGGCTGAACATTGCAGCAAACAGGGGTCCTCTTTTTGAGATGCACCAAGGTAGGAGAAAAAAGGATAATCCAGATCCTACAATCCCCTGCATTTTATTTTCTGCATCGTCTACTATTAAAAATGGAGATATCATATAACTACTTCAATTAGTATAATTTATAAAAGGAATAGAGAACATTATACATCCAATTCTATGTATATGATTCCTTACCCCATATAAGATGCAAAGAAGTTCAAAGCTTGATTTTATGTTCCAAGATGTTGGGTCTGATTCTAGAAATAATGTCAGAACAGCTGATTGTGAGGTTGCCATGAAACACGTCCAAGCAGAGAAAGAGAGGTTATCAGGACAAAACTTGGACACAGGGACCTATTTTCCAGTACATAAGCAAGATATGAACATTGATGATTGAATATGAAGTAAAGCTTCAAATAGGTGTTTACCTGCAAAATCATCCATAATGACTGGCGACACTGGCTTGCAAGGAGGACACAACCCAATAAAAACATAGAATTTTGTGTATGAAATTTCAAGTTTGAGATCTTGGAACCCCTTAGAAATGAGATGATAATGGCTCCGGTAACACAACAAATGGTTCCAAGAACCTTGGCCATGCTTTTCTTGCTTCTAATTTCTATTTTCTCCCATCTGATCAAAATAAGTGAAACATATGGGATTAACTTCATTGGATTTGATTCTTATATTGTAGTTATAATTGGTTGAAGTACTTTAGTTTGGTGCTTTGGCTTTAATTTCTCTATGAAATTTTGGGCTGATTGACTCGGTTATAAAGCTGATGACCCAGTAGTTGAGATGGTCACTCTGTATCCCCCTGAAAACAGAGGCAATAGTAGGATCAAAGCTATGGATACACAGGCTCTCTGTATTGTAAGGTCGGTTGATCTCATGTGCACCCTGTTCTGTATCCTTGAGTCCCCCTATAATAACATGATTACTCAAAACACAGAAGTCTATTAAATTAACCTTAACTCTAGAGCATTGTTATGTTGGAGGTTTAGAGTATATTTCAGTCATGAAATAAATGTTTGAATGGCTTGTATTTGTATCGAGCCAGTTTGTATTTAGGTGAGTTTGAATGGTTTGTATTTGCATCAACAGAATGAATTATAAGTGGACAGGTTCATAGAGTCCTTGCAAGACAATATCTATCATATATCAGTGACATGGAGAGATGATTTAGCCAATTCCAACCATCCATCAGATGGAGGATCCTCTGGATTCTTTTCATTAGGAAGGCAAACCAATCTTAATAAACCCTAAATACCAATGATTCTTGACCAATGCATCTGTTTTGGAAAAGGGTGATTTTACATTATAGTAGACATTAACTTCAATAAGGACTTTGGTTCATATGGCTTCCAATAGGTTTATTCCCTAACTTGTGAATGACCTAGAAATTTTTTATGGCCAAAACTGGGAGAGGATTAGACCTAGTTACTAACATTTAACGGTGTGAATCGTGAAGAACTGAGGTGAAATTTTATTTTGATTCATCGAGAAATCAAGAAATTTAGATAAACAATAAAAAGAATCTCTAGATCAACAAGGAAAAAGGACAGAAAAACATTGAGTTGCAGATTATTTCATCATTCAAATGATAATTTATGAAACCACAATATAACAAGTGGGTTTTAATAAGTGATTTTTCGGCAGTAAAGACCAACCCAATGGAGGCTGTAATTATGAATGTAACCGCAGGGATTAGGTTGCTCATTGCAGATGCAATCGAAGAAGATGCCAAATGAATGCCCTCAAACTGTAAATTCAGAAAGATGGTTATCCTGCAAAAACCATAAAGGGAAGAAGAAAAGATAAATTACGACTGAAGAAATAAAGCATAAAAAGGAGCTTTGTTACAGATAAAACCGGAGTGTTGTCTGTTACCCCAGAAATGATAGTAGAAAAATCATACATAAGCTCTTTACACTGAATGCCTCCCTACATGAGCTTCTCCTGTGAACATGAACCAATGTTGAATTCTGTATGAGAGAGAAAGAGAGAGAGAGAGAGAGAGAGAATACTATACCTACTATAAAACAAGCAACAGGTCCAAAAACTACAGTAGAGGCAATCAATTTGTAAACCACGAAGACCCTGGGACTCATTCCTTGATCAAAAACAGCTTGGCTTAGTAGATTTTGTCCCGCATAGGTAAACTGCAACAGCAACATAGCCATTAGAGGCATGTGTTCCTCCAAACAATTCATGAGTTTCAAGGTCCTTCGAGTCGTCTGAGATCGAGTAGGGTGTTCTGTGAGACTTTAAGTATATTTACACCATAGCCACATCCACTAGAAGCTTATGTGGATTGATAGTGAGAGTGTGCACCATTGAAGAAAGAAATAAGCAATCACACCAGAGAAAAGGGGAGGTCATTAGATCAATAAAGAGGAAAGAGACAAATAAGGACGAGAATAGGGGAGCCAAGTAGCTGAACTTGATAGCTACAAATGCAAGTGGATGTGGACCAGTGGCCCATTTGCACTTTATCTGCATTCTCCACTGTACTGAGATGAAATGATTAATCTGTAGGGGATGAACATTCATTATATTATGTTAAAAATCGAATAAAATAAATTGAGATTTGTTTAATGGAATTGGGAACCCCAAATGATCAAACCCAAACCGAATTAAGCTAAAACAAAACTTTTAGTTTGGTTTTTCAATTACAACCAAATTTTACTATCTATATATATAGGTTTTTTTTGGTTAACCAATTTTTTATATCTGAAAATGGAAACTGAAACCAAATTAATTCAAAAACCGAATAATAAAACAAAAAAAAAGAACTGAAATCAAAATCTTTGGTTCAATTTTTCTATTAATGCCCACCCCTCATTAGTTTCAAAGCTGGTAAAGAGTTGTTTAGTGATATTTTTCTTAATAAGAGAATATAGAGATAAGTAATAAATTTATAACTGGAACTGGTATATATAGAGAGATTTTTTTTTTTCTGGTAAGAATATATAGAGGTAATATGAATGTCAGGTCAATGCCTACGTTATCAAACCAAAATTATTTGAGACGGACATTTCATTAAAGAAAGAGAACAAAAACGAAACAATTGGATTCCAAGATAGACTCATCCATCATGACACAACACTGAACAAGTGAACAACAAAACACTAAACCCAATTATTACCGGAAAATTGATGGACACTTTTGTCGGACATAAAAGTCGGTTGTTTGTTGGGAGAATGACGGTTCGGCCCAGGAAACCAGAAATCTGCATTGGACTTGGACCTGTCCGCACTCTTTCGTTGTTTGAGCTGGTTCAATTCTTTTCCCTTCTCTCTATTCGTTCAGTCCTTGCAACATCAACAAGGCTAAAAGCCAAAAACAAAATTTCTCATCTTGTCATCAGCTAAACTTCTTCTAACTCCATAGCCCTCCAATGGATATCCAAAACGAACGTCGTTGCCCGAAAATTGTACTTTTGAGTGCTTCCACTAAGATTTTTGATGTTGTCCGAACGGAAGTGTTTCGAATCGAGAATACAATCAGATAATTCTACCATTGGACGAGGGCAAGGTGGAAGGATGATGCTCTGCATCCAGATCTATAATCAAGAGAAAAGGTCAGAAGTCCAAGGAGTTGTTCCCCGGGTAGGGACTCCAACGCTCAAGTTAGTTGGATAGAGAAAGAGATGGCTAGGCTGAACTGGTGAAATAATGTTGGTCTGAGCCATAGAGGTAGTGCAGAGAGGTATTCAAAGAGTGTTCTTTCAAGAGTCCCTTACCTTGAGCGGGGAATACCTATTTATAGTTGGGTGTCCATGTTCTAGATGGATAGGGGTTCCGAGGTTGTTAGGACTTTGGGGGGTGAGAGTGAGAGTAGCCCTTAGCACGAGGTGACTGAGGTTAGGGAATCAGAGCCCGATGCAAATGTGACTGAGATCGGTGACGAGGGCAACGCTGAGGTCTGAGAGATTGGTGTAGACGACAAGGTTGAGGCCGATGTGGAGCCTAAATACTGGTTTGCCTTGGCTTCGTGTAACCTTTTCTCTAGCCGACCTGGCTCAGATCCAAGAAATGTATTGCATTCCTAAAGAGTATGAACTGAGGTGTCCTAAGATCAGGGAGAGAGCCACTTTGGCCTATCCAAGGGAGATTTGTGTATATTTCCATAGTTTGATAGCCGGTCTTAGATTTCCTTTATATCCCAGGGTAGTGGCCATCCTAAAGTGGTATTTGGTCCTGCCTATTCAATTGATGTCAAACTCGTTTCGGTATCTGGTCGAACTGCTTTGCTACTGCACTCTCAAGGACATTGAGATCACCCTACCGATGTTTAGGTGCTTTCTCCAATTGAAGAAGCATAAGCAGGGGTGCTCAGCTGGGCTGAACATCAAGGTGCTTGTTGGGGCTCCCTCTTCCATTAAGCACTAGAAAGAGGCTTTTTTTTTTTTTGGGAAGTGTTGAGGAGGTTGGTTGTTCTCCTTCGCCCTATCCGTTCTGAGGACCAAGGATAAGGGTCCTTCCTAGACTGAGTTGTCGAAGAAGGAGATAGCTGTTGTAAGGATGATGGTGCGGGTGCACATCGGGAAGTACACCTCGTCCTGATTACTAGCCATGGCTAGGCTGATGTGCCCTTTGGACGATCAATCCCAGTCCAGTCCATGGGTTGACTGGTCTTTCTTCTTCTTCTTCTTCATCTTCTTTTTTTGAGCTTATCTAACTATGATGAATTGTGCAGACACGGACATGGTTGGTGCAAAGGAAAGAGCTCGGCGTATGAAGGTTGGTCGACAGAATGCACATCTCAGCAGAGGAAGAGGATGAGGTCGACGGAGGAGGTCGTGGTGGCCAATTTTGAGGAGGCCATGAATCAGCTCAGGCGGTCTTCATCGCAAAGGGGGGACGCTCTAGAACACGCTACAACTAAGGATTTGGGCGGTGTGTACGTGCTGCAATGGTCGGTTTGGTTGGAGGACACCCTTGAGATGAAAGGGGTGGCCAAGCAACTCACCCAGGGTCTGATGCTCCCCAGTATTAGGAAGGAAGCTAGCAATCACACCAGCAACTTCCTAGAGAGTGTGGCTCTTTATCAAATCATGGCGGTGAGTTCAGCTTTACTTGCTATTGCTTGTTTCTCTTCTTTTGTGTAAACTATCCAATGTCTTGCAGCTGATTTGTTCAGTCATCAGCCATGTCGATCACCTTCGCGGGTTGCAACAATTCTACAAGTCGCGAGAGATAGAGAATGCCTAGCTGAACGTGGAGTTGGCTGAATTGAAGCGCTGCGTCAAGGAAAGGGATGACACTATTCGTAAGCTAAAGGGTTGTGTCCACAATTTCAAGGAAGAGTGAGATGCGTTGAGGAGGGGGCTCGGGGAGGCCAAGGCGAGGGTTGCTCAAGTGAAGGGGGAGGGCATATCCGAGTATAGGGCTTCGTAGGCTCATCATAACAAGTTGGACGACTACTTTACTAACTCCTAGCAAGAGGGATTTTCTCTCTACCAGTGGCGGGTGATGTGTCACTTCCCGGAGGTGGTTGAAGTCGTTCAGGGGTTCGGTCTGTTTGACACTGAAGAGCCTGATGGGGATGTTGTTGTTGTCGATAACCAGGAGCAAGCCGATGATCCCCCAATAGACAGTTGATGTGCTATTTTTCCTTTTATTTTTGTTGTATAAAGCTCGTATGCCAAGCTTACATGTTAGGCGGTATACGCCCTTAGCTCTAATCAACATAATGTACATTATGACATTTATTGTAAATGAATAAAGTACATATTTGATTCATGTTATTGTGGTGTGTTTCGGTGTAATACCCTTAAAATGGACACATATGAGACTCAAGTTACTTTAGAGTCTTCACAACCGCTAGATAGATCTGGGGAGATTTATCCTGCCAAGGCTGACACTGATGTGCCGCCAAGTTGGTTGTGGTGGCTTGTCTCAGCTGCCAGGGTGAGACCTGAGGTACATGCAGTGTGGGTTTTTTTGAAACCCTGAACCAAACCAAATTCTAGTGTTACCCTGGACCTTATAGATAGATGGGCAAAACTGGAATGTTACACCTGACCCTTAGACTCGATTATGGTACTGCACTACGTGTCGGATTGAGCTGTCTTTGATGTACCAATCAGGGAGATCCTTAGAAGGGGTCAAAACCTGGATATGTTGGAACAATCCGAGAATTCATCTGAGTGAGTGATCATAGTGACAGGATCAACCCCTTTGTCAAACAAAGTGAATGATCGGGGAATTGCACTCTCTCTAATAGAAACATAAATTGCCGATAGTGGATTTCAAATGTGTTTGAAATTTGGTTTTGCAAAATACATTTATATAGAGATATACTTATATATTCTGGTTTCAAATTGTTTGCAAAAATGTTTTAATTCTCGGGATCCATGTGAGTAGAGAGTGTAGCACTGTACCTTGCAGCTGAGGGAGAGGTCCTCTCTTGTCGGGCAATGTTTGATCATTAAGGGTTGAGAGGTTAAGTGTAAGACCATTGAGGGTTATACTTGAATCCGGACAAGAAAACACAAGAGGAAAGTGTAGAAATACAAAAATTAATTAATTAATTTGAAAAAGATAGAATTCAAACATTACAGAAATTAAAAGTGCAGAAAAATAAATGAATACATAAATAAATAAATAAATAAAACTAATTAAAATGTCTATAATCTGATCAGAGGTAGCAATCTTTGGATCTCTCCTTTGACCCTCGAACTTCTCGAGCTAGACCTTTCATCTTACTTAGCCGAATTCCAGATCTGCAGAAAAGAAAACGAAGACTAAACGGAATGAAAATAAATTGCAAAAAGAAATAACGGAACTGGAAATTACAGAACGAAAATTAAAACTAAAATAAAGTAAAAGTGGTTGGGATCCGATTCCAGAGGTGGCAGTAGTGGTGTTGGCAAACTACAAGTAGGAACTAGGGTTGTTCACGGGTCGGGTTGGGTCAGTTTACTGAGGTTTTTCCAACCGACCCGACCTGGTCGGGTTACCTGAACTTGAAACCGAAACCAACCCAATGTTAAGCAAAACCAACATGGTCGGTTTGATTCGGGTTGGGTCGGTTTTCGCTCTAAGTTCAACCATGCTTGACAGAAACTCAACTGCAATAATGGGGGCGAACCAAGTTAGAAACTTAGAATA